CAAACAACTTTATTAGAATATAAAAAGAAAGTATATTAAATAAAATTAAAGATGTTTTAAGAAAAAAATAGACAAAATAAATTTTTTTTAAATATTTTATTTCGTTTAATTTGATTGGTTTACCTGAATTTATCAGGTCGGGTCATAAGCTTGACCCAACCTGATGTTGATTTGAAAATTTGTCTACTTGACCTGAATTTTTCAGGTCGGGTCAGGTCAGGTCACAAGTTGACCTGACCTGATTTGAAGCTCTAGGTTTTGGACATATAAAATTGTGTCTAAAACCTGTCTAAAATTATCTAAAATTGTCCAATTATCCGACACTGCTATACTGTACTTCCTTTTCTAAATATTTCTTACTTTAAATAATAAAAGAATTATACAAATCTTTTTTGTAATGATATAAAAAGCAGGTGACTTATAAAGTTGTTTGTGATTATTATTGTGAGAAATCTAAATTTGCAAGATATTTTGTTTAATAATAGTAAAGATAACTGCTTTAATATTAATTCAAAGGTTATTTATGTTGTGTTAATTAGCCAGAAAGTTTTTAAGGTGATCGAAATTGTGATAATTGTAGTAAAAATTAGTATATTCTGTAAATTGAAACTATTTGGTCACATTATAGAGCGAAGATTTAGAATTTGTTATTTGTTTTATAAAATGCGAGATCTAACCTATAAATGGCGAATATTAGTGAAAAAGCAAAAATAATTTTATGATCTGACGAATACAAATTAGTAGAATCTAAAGATAAAAACAAAAAACCTGAAGTAAAATTTGAAGAAGCAAAAATGGTATTGATTTGAGAGTTTAAATTTTAGGCAAAATGTAAGTTAGAATGAATTATAACAAATATCATATAATCAAGAAAATTGAGCATAAAAATGTGGTGAAAAAAAATCAAATATTTAAGAAAGGAAAATACCATTATTATTATACATAAAGTCAAAATTAATAATTTCGGATATCCAAAATGGTCAAAATGGTCAAAATTAATTTTGACTATATGTTAAAAGTTGAAATGAATTTTGATGGTTGAAATGCATTATGATGATCAAAATGTATTATGATGGTCAAAATGAATTATGATTGTTGAAATATATTATAATGGTCGAAATAAATTATGATGGTTAAAATGTATTATGATAATCAAAATAAATTATGATAATCAAAATACAATATAATAGTTAAAATATATTATAATAATTCAAGTATATTAATAAATTTATTATATTTTATTATATCTTATTAAATTTATGAGTTAACTTTTATAATTTTTATAAAAATAAAAAATAAAATGTTTAGATATTTAAAAGATTATTTTTATAATTATATTTTTTTCAATTATTATTATTATTACTAATTCAAATTAGCATCTAATATTGCATTTATATCAAAATTTTTATTTCCATGATCAATATATTCTGTTTCTTCAATTATTACTCTTACATCCATATTTAAAGCTTTTTGAAATTCTTGACTATTAAAATCAACATAATTTTCTATAATAATTTCATTATTTTTGTTTAAAATCTCTGTCTCATTTTCTTCAGCAAAATCCTCATTATTATCATCAATAAAATCAAATTCTTCTTCCTGTTTATGAATTTCATCAGAAAATTCAGTAAAATTTAAACTTTTATTAAATGTTTTATAAATTTCTTCTTATGAAAGATTAGAATGAGCATAATTCATTTCAGTAGTAGCATTTGTTACATAATAGTATGTAATTTTGCCATAGCTTCTATTCTTTCAATAGAAAGTCTACAATTAAATATAAAATATATAAGATTTAATAATTAAATTATTTAAATTAATATTTTAAAATATAAATTTAAAACTTACTTTGATCGATGACTTAAACACATCCATCCTAATACAGAAAACATTCTTTCACAACCAATATTATGCGGTGTTATAGAAATTATTTTTAAGGTTAATTGTTGAATAAAACTATCTTGTGATTCTATTATTTTCCACCAAGTTTTATATTATACATTTTCTTAAACATATTGAAATTCGTATGGTTTTGAAAAATTCATATATGCTAATAATTATGCTATTAATATATTTGCTGTAATATCTCCTCCATCCATATGTTTTCAAAGTTCAAGAGCTATATGACAAATTTGTCTAAAAATATCAGATTTAAATTCTTTTCCTAAATAAAATAAATAATATGATTTGATTATTAAAAAATTATATATATTTATATTTATTTAAAAAAATTATTATATATACCTCAATATGATGGATGAAAAAATATCCTAACAAATAAATTTTGAAATCAAATTGTCTCTAACAATGATTAAATTTATCAATACAATATGATCGAAATAAGACATTTGTTATAGTGGGATATGATTTGAATGCAATTTCAAGTTTTATTAATTGAATAAAACAATTGGCTAAAGAAGTTGATTTATATTCTAAAGAAACTATAACTTCTTTAATTGGTTTAAACAATTTGATTAATTCTTCTACATCTTAAAAAAAATACAATTTCTTAATAAAGATTTGATAATATCTCTAAGAGTTTCTGGATGTTTTTCTAAAAGCTTTAATGATATAAAAAAATATAATAAACTTTATTATTATTAATTAAAAATAACAAATTTATTTTAAAATAAAAAAACATACACTATAAAATGCATTTTCACATCTTTTTATTGATACAAGACAATCAAATGCTATTGTCTGACTTGTTTTTAAATATCCTCATAATCCACCTCCTATAATTAAATTTTCTTTTAATTCTTGAGTCAAATAAGCTCATTTTGATATGATTTTCTAAAATAATTAACAATCTTCATACAAAATGAAATTGTATTTTTTGAATATTTGTGTGTCATTATATCAGTAGTTAATAAATTGACATGATATATAATACATCGAACTAGAATTATATGTTGATATTTTTCATTAATTTGTTTTTTGCTGCTACTATTGTTGCTGCATTATCAGATACTATTGAAGAAAACTTTTCAGATCCAATCTCTTTTATTATTTTTATAATTTTTCAGATATAAAATTTGCATTATGTGAATATTCAGAAAGATCTTATAAAGAGTATATATATTCTTTTTTTGAAGGTAAAATTTAAATAAATGCATAAATTGATGCTCTTCTTGATTCACTCCAACCATCTAATCCTAAAATTAATAAAATTATTTAATTTTAAATTTAAATCATAAATTCATAAAAAAATAAA